CACCAAAACACTCAGTATGAAACTTTGGTGAAAACTAGCATTTTTTCATTTGTTAATGTGAGTAACAAAATCAGAGTATCAAAAACCCTGAGATACCAGTCAATGCTTTTGCATGATCCACAGTGCACAAAAATCACACATTTTAAGCCTCAGCTGAAGAGTAGTATGTCCAGAGTTATGAAAATCAGATTTTGTGCGTTAGAAATGTATTATTATACAAGGTTACTGACCGTTCTGTGAAACAGCATATTTTGAAATTAATCAGAAGACAGGCACAAACCACTAAAGAAATTCTTACGACTTCTGCTTAATCAGACATCACTTAATGAATCACTGCCCTTTCCCACTACTACAGTCAATGGAGACAGTATTTCAAATTGCTCACAGCAATATGACCTTCACTACCATGAAAACAAGACAGGAGGAAGTGAGCAATCTTAAGCCAATTCTCACCTATTATCATAGGATTCCTGTTCTTTCAAATACTGTTGCATTAATTCTTCTTGTTTCTTCTTATCGTATGAGATTTTCTGTTCTGCCATCCATACCTGGTTAAAATAATTAAGCTTCTACTTAAATACAAAAACTATTACAAAATATATTAGTGTATAAATAACTAGTTTACTCAATTGAAAATGCTTAATGAGGGATGATCACCATTCTAATTGTATAAAAGACATTATTTTCATTCAGTAGTTTAACACATGAACTTCCCACAGCAGTAATTTTGAGAAACTTCAACAACATTTACATACTGAAAAGACAGGAGTAAATTTGGTAGCTCAAAAAGAAAACCAGGCTCAGAAAATACCCTGTGGGTGCCACTGTCTTCCCTGCAGAGAGCCTTGCTCGGAGCAGTCTGGACAGACGGCAAGCCCCAGGTCCCCTGGGGGGTTCCTGGCACGGGGCACAGTTCTGGAGAGGGCACCTGCAAGCAGCTCGAGGCGGGAATGAAACACCGGGAAAGCAAAGGCACATCGTGACAGATGGGGTTTTCCCGGACGGGGTACAGCGCCTATTTGTTCTGGGAATCAGGTGTTGAAAAGCCTGAGCCAAGAAAACGTGATACTCATATACCCCTGGGGACAAGAAAACCCGAAGCTCCAAGTATTTCTTAACTGTTTCCCGGCCCCTCGTTCCTCTTTGCCCAGCCCGGTGCCCCCATGCCGGTGAGGAGCGCTGCTCGGGCCGCCGCGGTACCGGGGCCCGCCCGCGGGCCAGCCGGGCCGCCCTCACCTTTTTGATGTTGGACTTGGAGGCGGGGTGGAAATCCTTCTTGCACATGAAGTTGGCGAACGACTTGCCCATGGCGGCGGCGGAGCGGGAGCCGCCGGCCCCGCACGGACAGGGACCGGCACAGGGACCGGCACAGGCTCAGCGGCGCTCCGGGCCGGCCCCGGCCGGGCCTTCCGGGTCGGCGGGCGGGCCTTCCGCGGGCGCCGCCCCGCGCCGGAGCCGCCGCCGTCCGCGCAGCGCAGGCGGCCCGCAGCCCGCAGCATGTTCCCCCGGCCGCCTCCCCTCTCCTGCGACACCTTCGTGGCGCTACCGCCCGCCGCGCCCGGCGGCCGCGTGGTGTTCGGGAAGAACTCGGACCGGCCTGCGGACGAGGTGCAGGAGGTCGTGCACTTCCCGGCCGCCGCGCACCCGCCCGGCGCCGCGCTGCAGGTGAGGCGCGGGGCGGGAGCGCTGCTGCGGGACCGGCGAACTCCGCTCTCAGCCCTCAGACCGTGCTTGGCCCGCGCTCCGGCCGGCGGAGCGGGAACGGTGACTCCGCGTGTGCTCTGACCTCTTGCAGTGCACCTACATCAGCGTCGAGCAGGTGGAGAGGACCCACGCCGTGGTGCTGAGCCGCCCCTCCTGGCTCTGGGGCGCCGAGATGGGCGCCAACGAGCACGGCGTGTGCATCGGCAACGAGGCGGTCTGGGGCAGGGAAGAGGTCTGCGATGGGGAAGCTCTCCTCGGCATGGACCTCGTAAGGTGTGCACAAGCTTGCTTTTTTTTTTTTTTTTTTTTTTTTTTCCTTTTTGGTAAATGGTACCGTATTCGGAATTTACATGGAAACATGTCGTTTGAGTTATACGGGGAAACTTTCACTTTCATAAGACATCCCACGGCTAAAAGTAAGTATTTCTTGCCACAAGCACTAGATTTCTGCCAGGAGCCCATGAGAAGTATCAGGCACTAGACCAGAATTTGTCAAAGAACTTAGTAAACGTTTTTCTTTCTATAAAATTTATACTAAACTGAAACAAGACTTTTTCAAGAGCACAGAGAGACTTCAAGCACTATTGTCTGGGCCTTTTCCTAGAGTCTGTACTCCTTCCTATTCCCCCATCTTTCACAAACATTAAATTTTGGTCTCAGCTGCCTATTTCCATGTAAATAACAAGTTCATGTTCCCACACTACTGGTGCCAGCATAACTTCCATTAACATACAGCAGTCAGGCAATTCTTTTAGTAGTTTCCCCCCAGTCCAGTACCTACAGAGGACTTGTAAGCATTTTGTAGGATCTCTCTCCCTGCTTTTCTGCATTTCCACTTGGTGTTTTTCCCCATGTCAGGTTCATAGAGGATCCACTTCAAAGAACCCCTTTACCTGGTTTGTGTATTTCCCTTACCAGATTATACAACTGGCAGCTGCATATAGAAATATAATTCCAGGTCGATTAGAATACTCAGGCTGAATAGTTCTATGTGGAGTTCATAGTTCCAAAAATAACATTTTCCTTTCGTTTTAGGCTTGGACTTGAGAGAGCAGACACAGCTGAAAAGGCTCTTAGTGTCATAGTTGATTTACTGGAAAAATATGGACAGGGAGGAAACTGTATGGAGAGCACCATGGTATTTACATACCACAACAGTTTTCTGATAGCTGACAGAAAGGAAGCATGGGTGCTGGAGACATCAGGAAAATACTGGGCAGCAGAAAAAGTAGAAGGTATGGATGATGTTCTTTGTTCTAAACATTTCAAGTGCAATGACAACTTGGGAGTTCTCCAGTTTTCATTCACCATTTCATTAGGGCATCAAACTAACCTTGAGCTGCATACATGTGCCTGTAAACAACAGGCATTGCTTCCTGAGGCATGAGTGTGGAGTAGCTGGCAGTTTGTCAGAGGAGCTGAGTGACAGGGGCCTTTTCAGAGCCAGAGACAGTGCCACTCCTGCACTTGGGAAACAGGACACCAAGAAAGTCAGCATGAGAATGACAGCAGTATGTGTGGTCATAAGGATGGTAGCAATCTATGACAATTTCATTTGGGGACAGGATTGATGTACTGGGCCCTGAAGTGGCTGATTCTTCCAGTGGAATTAGGAGGACAAGCTTGATCTTTGGATGTCTCATAAGAAGAATGTAAAGGTGGGAATCATCAAGACAAAACCTGAAATACAATGTTGGCAATAAAAGCAAATGAGTCAGTAATGAGTGGCAGTGAAAATTCAATCAGAAAAATACATGTAGCTGGGGAGAGAGGGCCAGAAATAAACACCAGACTCACTGATTTTGTACTAAGATCTTGTAGGAAACTCTTCAGGGCTAATTTGCTTTACTAAGCAAATACCAAGACAAAATACCAAGACAAATCATTCAATGTATTAAAACAATTATTTCTGTTTCTTATGAACAGGAGGTGTACGGAATATTTCTAATCAGCTCTCTATCACAACCAAGATTGACAGAGAACACCCAGAATTGAAGGAATATGCCAAAAGCAATGGCTGGTGGGATGGGGAAAAGGAATTTGATTTTGCTGCCACATATTCTTATGTCAATACTGCCAGAATGACCACATCTGGAGGCCGATATTGTGAAGGCTATAAACTTCTAAACAAACACAAAGGTATCCTTTTGGTTTTCTTTTCAAGAGATGCAAAATATTTAGTGAGCTACATTAATTCAAATCATAAATTATTATACATCTGATGGAGGCAATTATTCATATGACTTGGTGACCCACAGCTTACTAGAACAATTTTTTGCCTTAAAGAGAAGCTCTTAACTTGGAAGTTTCTATCCATTTTTTGCTAATTTATTGAGAAGGAAAAATTAAAACAAGGATCAAATATCAAACATACAGAACTACAGTAACAACCCTAAGAGGTCACATTATGACCATATCACTAAATGCCCTCTAAGACCTGTTCTGAAACATTTTGATAGGCTACATATTATTACTGTACTGCTAAGGAGAAAAAATAGAGGCTAAAACAGATTCCCAGCAGTTTGCAGCCACAAAGAACCTTATAAACAGCTTCAGTTAGGTACCATTTATGTAAGGCAACAGCACAGCATTCAGATACATATCTTGCATTCATTTTTTGACATTAATTTTAAAATCTTTGTAGCTTCACTGAAATAGCTACTCTAAACTTGTGTAGTCTACTAAAACATACCAAGAGCAGAACAAAAAAATTTTCTGTACTCTAAGCAGTCATTAATTCAAACACTTACTTTACAGACTCCTAATGAATGAACCTATTACTTCACTTCTAACTGCATCCATCTAGCAGGTTTTTGCTGTAGCTGTATTCACATGCTCATTTGAAGTAATTAATCTGAATCAAGATTACATTGCACCCCTTTGTTTCTTATATTTATTTGGCTGAACTCTGCCAGACCAGGTTTAGCATTTAGTTAGTGCATTAGAGTGAATTACCATTGCTGTCTTGCTCTAGTGATCATGTAAATTCTGCATTCATTTTGGGAATTGCAGGTTCTGAATACTGAAAGCATTTTCATAATACCTGTATTTACTTGTATTATAACAATGCTGAGACTGTATCTGTGTTTTCATTCTAAATCCCCATTTTCAGGCATTTACCTGAGCATTTTAAATTCCCACTAGGTGTTCAGGTTATCAGGCTCATATGGTTCACTTTGCTTAGATTTATTTTAAATAGGCGCCTTAACTAAAAGCTATTTGGTTTTCAGCATCAGTAAAATCACTGGTTTCTTCATCTACCCTTCCTTACTTTTTCAGTCAGTGGTATTACAGTTATGGGGTTTTTCCAGGCTGTCTACTATGTGAGGGCCATTTTTTAGAGAAATAGTATTCATATTTCAAAAAATAGGGAATGTATTCCAGGCATACAAAATAACAGAGTCTAGTGTAAAACATGCAGTACCTTTTCCCTGCTGGACAGGTTACCAAAGCTGTAGCTGACAAAATGACCATTGCTTCTTTTAATTTTTTTGATTCATCTAGCTTGCTGATTTCTTTAATTCACTGACCTTCCCAGGCAACTGTAGGAATACTTAAGTGTGTCTTCTTGCTGAAATGTAGTGCTGCATGCCTGTCTACAGGCAACCTGGGTCATGTATGAAAAAATAATATTGGAGACATGTAACTTAGCAGCAGAGTAACTATTTTAAGAGGTAACAGCAAGGTAGTTAAAAAAATTTTTGCCCAGTTAGAACTCAGTAAGGGAAACACTAAAACATTAAAGTGGTAGACAATACCTTCCAATAAAAAATAAAGAGTGAATGAACTAATGGTTTTCTGCCATAAGCATACCCTCTACTGGTACACCAAATATGAAAACTATCCTGCAAGAGCTGCCTGTTAGGATATTGGATGGATTGGTGATACCATGCCAGTATCTGAGCTTCAGCATACACGATACAGCAACAGTGATATCACTGAACAGGCAGAGGTGGAAAGGGTTCTGTTCCTCCTGAGCAGGAGTTATTTTCAAAGATACTTGGCAATAAACCTCACACAGCTTGCTGATAAAGACTTTTCTACAAATAGATACACTACTGTGACTTCTGAGCATAGCATGTAATGCCACTCCAGTGCCTCCTTGAAAAGGATGAAAATAAAAAAAAAACACACACCACAAAAACCCCCCCAAAACAAGTGAGTCTCAGTGTATAATTTTCAAAGTTTCACACAAAATCCATGCATGACTGTTATTATTTTTGTAACTTCAAAGCAACATAGTGGTATTATTAACACTATTTAAATACCAACAAGTATTATAATGATTTATCTTACTTCCACAGAGTGATCAAAGTTCAGCATTTAATCCAAGCTGCTAATTTTCATCTGAAAAGTTTTGTGAATGACCATTTGCTCGCCCTGTGAAATTTACCTTTCTGGGAAATACCATTTGTATTTTTTAAGGCATGTTCTTATCACAGCTCTTCGAAATAAATACTTTGGAGAAAGCAATACAAGTGTGTCCCATATTAAAGTTTGCTATTAGGGTGATTTTTTCCCCTGCTAACACAGACAAACTAAAGCTGGCATTGCTTATTAAAAGAAAAAGCAGTCAGTTGTAGGGAACATGTCATTCAGTTGGTATTCTATTAGCTCTGTGGCTAAATAATTGTATCTTGAACAGGATCTATCACTTCTGAAATAATGATGGAAATTCTTCGTGACAAAGAGAGTGGCATTAACATGGAAGGTGGATTTATGACAACTGGCAGCATGGTGTCTGTGCTGCCTCAGCAGCCTAATCTACCCTGTATTCACTTCTTTACTGGAACTCCAGATCCTGCCAGGTGATGTAACAGCAAGTAAACTGGATAAAAAATTGTAAATATCTAAATGAAAAACCATTGCAGTTTGCCCAGTTATATTTCTTTTCGCTTTGGGTTGGTTTTCTTTTTTCCTCCTGAAAAAGCACAATCAGAATGTAAGAGGAACATAAAACATTACGGATATTAATGGTATCTACCAACCTACTTAATGGAACACTGCTGTGACAATGACTTCAACACCATTAGATGTTTTTTTTAATACTTTCTTCTTAAAAGAAGCAAGTAGAAGAATGGGAAAAAATACAGCAATTTACTGATTCAACAATTTTAAAAAAAACAGTGTCAGTAAAGGATCTCTATTCTATTTTTTCTTTCTAGATCTGTATTCAAGCCTTTCATTTTTGTGCCCGGTGTTACTCAGTTATTAAAAACTACATCCCCTACATTTGGTCATGATGATCCAGTTAAGAAGCAACCACGTTTTCAGAGTAAGCCAGATCGAAGACATGAGCTCTATAAAAAACATGAAAGTGCTGCTGTAGTTATGGAAACTAACAAGGTATGTTGATTAAATTAGATTTCAATGCAAGCAGGTGCTTTATATAAGGTCCTTGCTCACATTTTGTTAATGTGATACCAGTTAATGCCCCTTGATGGATTGCAAAGAACAATGCAGTGCCCCAGAATTGTAACCAGCACTGTGCTGCGCTGGCAGGCTGAGCCCTGGGCGAGGATCTGTGCTGCTCCTTTGCAGAGCAGCCCCCCACAGACTCCCACACCTGTCAGATAATGGGAAATGCTCGAGCAGCCCCAGGCAAATACACAGCTCCTGCCTCGAGTTCTTACAGCTCTTCAGGCCCCTGGTCTCAGGTGGAAAGGGGAGCTTGCCTTTGACCATTGCTTGGTATGGACAGGAAAGGAAACAAGGTGACAAAGACAGCTGAACACAGACATGAAGCAGGGAGGTAGCTGCTTATTTTTAGCAGTAAAATCCTATTTTCAGATATGTCCAAAAGTAAGTCATATTCCCACTGAAGTTTTGGTAACTAATACCTAAAGGAGCTTTAATATTTCTTCAATCTATCAGATAAGGAAGATGAAGTGAGTGCTAGGTATTAGTTAAGATATCTAAGAAAACCTGTCATTATACTGATTTCTACCAACATAAATGGGTACCCTAGAAACTCTTAAAAGATTAAATAAGGAGAGTAGAACAGAATTTTGTTAGTGTGATTACTACACGCTCTGTATTGTTCTTAGTGAAATAAATGTTTCTTTTTGTAGGACAAAGGTAAAGAAATGCTCAAAGAGATACAGGAGTTGGAGAAACAGAAGATAAGTCAAATGGAATCAATCCTGCAAAATGGATGCCTTGATACTAAACAAGTAGTTAATCTTTTTTCACAGTGTGTAGAAGAAGAACTCAAAATATATGGCTAAGAATATTATGTGAATGTGGTAAAATTTGGATTATAATTGGGTTTTCTAACAAAGAGGCTATATAGATGAACATCCTGTTTTCAGTATATCACATAGCATGGACAGTTTTAAAGATGCAGATTCATATTCAGGACAAATGGCTTTTGAATATAAGAAAAATGCTGGAAAGGTTTCTAAGAGCCAGGCAGTGGCATTGTACATGGCACAAAGCTGTCAGCAGAGATTGATTTTGCCAACAAACAGATGCAATTAGAATGCAATAGCTTGACTAAATTAGTGAACAGCCCATCTCTGAATGAAGAACACTAACTCAGCTCTGGAGAACCCAGTTCTAGCCTACACACATGTAGCTTTTATAGTCAGGAGAATTGTAGCAGAATTTTAGACTACCTGAGTTAAAATGGCCATGCTGAAGAATTTCTAAAATGTAGAAGCTATGATGAACCCCAAAGAAAAAAAAAGTGACGCACAAACCAAGGAAGATTGATACTCAGTTGTTTGGTAAAACCCTTCTAAGATAACATTTCCTATACGAACCTTCTTCTCCTTCAATGTAAAATGAGGCTAAGAGTTCAAGGTGTATTAAAAACAAATCAAAGTTACAATAATAATATCTTGCTGTGAGTGATTGTGAAATCTTATTACATGGAATTCAGCAATGCAAACATCCTGTAAGGTCCCTGTAGATTTCACTTCCCTGTCTACTTTTCCCACCCTGATAGTGAAAAATAAACTTATTTATATACAAAATGATTATTGTCAAATTAATTTTGCCATGCACTTTATAACTTTATGGGGGAGTTCTAAAATGTTTCTTGAATTGTTACTTTTTAAAATAGGGCTACTAGAAAGGAAGAGGTTGGGCTACACAAGTACACACATGTACTCAGCAGGAAACTTAAAAAGTACTTTTTAATTTCTTTCTTCACTTTATATAAAGCCTTTTAAACCATGACTTTTTTTGCCAGAGTTAATAGACTATGGACTTAATTTAATCAAGCTTAATTTAATCAAGCTTTCTGCCCTGAACTCAACTCTTCCTGATCCTGTTTAAAAGCAATGATAAATATATGATACCACTTTTATTATCTGTGCCAGGGGCCAAACTAAAGAAGATTCTGATCAAAATTATCAAAATGATCAAAAAGGATAACAAGCATAATTATAAGGAAAAACAGAAATAAAAGAACTCAAAATGCAGCACATCCAAAAACCTTCAGAGGAAATTTGAAATGGTTCACTAGACCTGCAACAGCAATGTGGGACCTGACACTGCATCCCCACAGACACAGCAAACCACAGAAAGATCATTCTTTGAGAATTTTTCACATGCAGTTTTCTCATTCTGTAAACTGTTCAATACCCCACTGGTAGAAAAAATTAAATATAAAGAATGGATAGTCAATGAAGTTGGCAGGATTAATATGAAAAATAAGAGCTTGGTAGAATTTATTCTTTCTGATCCTACAATAAGAGTAGAAATGAATTTGGGATGCTGTGTTAAGATTCACAGCAATAAACTACTGAGTTAGGAAAGGCTCGTGAATTTTCTATTTCTAGTGACCTAATGTGTACGATGGGGCAGCAGCAAGCAAGAGTGGGCAGTAAGACAAAGTACGTTTGAATTGACTGAACATTTTGTGCCTCTGTTGATGACAAAATTTTTTAGAAGTTCAGTAGCACAGTGGTTCAATACAGAAGTTCAATAGTCCAGTTTGATAACTGGAAGATAGATTTAATAAAAAATTCCTGTATTTATCTGTTTTCCTTATGTGATGTCCATATCTAACAATTATGTATATTTTCCTATTTTTGATCATGAGCTGTTCTACACTGATAGCTTCAAAGCATCAGTAAATGCCAGGTGAAAGTGTGCAGGAAACCAAGGTATGAATCAAGTTTTCAGGCAGTATAGCAAACCAAGTGAAACAGTTTTATGCTACAGTGCAAAGATTGAAGCTATACAGGAAGAACAGTAGCGAAGCTGGAGCAGGCCTTTAAGCAAACTTCTTGGCCACTTAATCATGGGGTGGCAGTGAACGAGGTTAAGCACATTGGTCCAGTCCTAATGCGGGCAGATACAGTCCAACTGTGCCTCTTTTTTATTTGTTATGTGTTGCTTCTTGCTGGTCTACAGGATACAAAGCAAAAACTATGTAATGTGTGAAGACAGTTAAAGTGGTGGCCAACAGAGTACAGGAGATTTCAGTACCTTTTTCCTTGGGATTTCGTTCTCCTAGAAGACATGCAGTGTAAAAACAGAAAATAAAGATGAGATCAGGAGAAACAAATAATCCTCCCTTCCACAACCTTATATATATATAAAAAAAAACAAATTAAGAATTAGAATGTCCCCTAGAGGGCAATCTTCTCATGGATTTTCACTTAGGAATGTATCTTTAAAAGGTCTAGAGCTTTATGAAGGATCATTATTGAAATAAAAAAGTTCTAAAATTTCGTACTAGAAAACTAAGTATTACATCCACCCCTGTTCATTATGACAATTATTTTGAGATTAGTCCTAGAAAAAAGATCCAGTTTTTCACTGGACATTCCTCTAGACTTGTCTTCATGGAACTTAGCTTCCAAGAGATTAATCTACCTTCAAAATAAAGGAAGTCATGGCACCAGTGACCACTTCTTTAAAGCAAAGCTGTTTCTAACTACCAGGAATCCACATAACACTATATCAACTATTGACAGAACATCAGCTTGTCAACCATTCAAAACTTGCCACTGCTCCTTGGTGGAAGCAAGTATTTTCCAGATAAAAGAGTTACTTAACTTTCTAAAACAATTCAATGTCTATTATCGGCTTCCAGAAGTACCCAGTGATTTAGAAACAAAACATTATATCCTGTATTTCATTCCTAAGTTCTTTATTTATTAATCATCACAGACTCATCAGACTAATGGGTATGATATCAGCAGTCACAATGTTGTAGCAGTAAATCTAATTTGGTGTTGGTTGATAATCAAAGGTGATCTCTGCATTAGATTTCTATCAGAGAGCCTTTTCCACACAGAAATTTTGAGCAGTTTCTTATTTAAAACAGATATGTTGTGTTCAAATCCAGGGGAAAGCAGACCCATTACAAAAAGGGAAGCAGGACTTTTATGATGAAAATGAGAAAGACAAGAGTGCATGAACAATGACTATAAACAGAACTGTAAAACTGCCCTAAGATCAAATTCTTGAATATTTGAAAAAATAATTTAAAAAATTGTGTTTGGTAAGTAGATGAAAATGTGACACACTTCTAGTATGGAGGTATCTTTGGGTGGACACCCATTAAGAAGTGCTCTGTCTACTTGTAAAGGATCAAGGATGGATTTAAGAAATACCAGGACTGAAACCCAAGAGCCACGTGAACAAATCTCTCAGAAAAACACATTTGCAGTAAACCTTGACACGCGCACATAACCCTCTCACACACCACATCACAGCTCAGAACTCTGAAATCAAGTAACAGATTTATTGACAAGTTGCAATATTTAGAAGCCAGACATACTTGCAATTTCTGCTCTTAAGTCACATATATCTAATTATTCCAAAATATTTGATGCAGCTGTCTTCAACATTCATAATGGAAATACACAAACATTTTCTTTTGTGGCCACAGCCTGATAAAAACATCAATTATATTGTTGATGGAAAACATTAAAATATACCAGGTTGTACGGCATACATAAGCAGAAGGATGTTATGTTTCTGTGCACACTGCAATCAGACTGACAGTAAAACGAATTATGTTTTCAATTTAAGTCTTGTGGGGAATTATAGCAACCATAAAACAACTGCTTGTTGAATAGTAGCTTATGCTGCTAAAATCACTTTTATTTCTTAATACAAAATAGATGCAAAAGTAGCTGTAATAGAAATCTGTGTAGTTTAAAAAAAAGGGAAAAAAGAAGGGAAAGACTTTTTTAAAAAAAGGATGAAAAGAATTATTCATATGCTTGAGCAAATAATTTTTAATACCCAGATTCCTTTCCCTCACTACATAAAATTTTTATATAGATATTTCAATGCTGTTCTTGCAGTTTTAAAATGACAGCATAAAAGCTATAGATACAATACTCTGTCTGTAGACTTTTCAAAATATTGCAGAAGACACACAGGTCCTCAGATTCTGCCCTTAGTGCACAGGAATCTGAGTGACACTAAAGTAACTAGCAGGAGGATACCTGAGGTTTATTAGAAACCTGTGTTAGGCAATCAACTAAACTTTAGGGTATTTAGCTACTCTAAACCCTAATCTGGATGTTCATTTAGGATTCTTTATATATTAGATTTAAAAGTCATTAATATAATTCCAAAAGTTTTATGATTTGAAAAAGAATTTTGTCTTGACTTGCACATGTACCCATGGCTTCCATAAAATCTTTACTTGAGGCTGGCACTTCTATTTTAAACTGTAATGGCTAATTTCAGAATATAAATATCTGCTCTTGATAAAGCTGTCACTACCACCATAAGGCAGTTTCAGAACAAATTGTTTATTCCACTATATAATTTCCTATTTTGGGAGAATGCTAAATATTTCTATGGTTTTAAGATTTGGTAGATTTGTACAAAACCATTACTTATTCCACTCAGTACTTGCCCAGCTCCAATTCCCTCATATTGCAAACACTGTCACAGCAATTCTATCATTTTAATTGGAGTATTTTATCTTTAAGGGAGAAAAAACCCACCTGATCTCAGGTGTAAGCAGCTAATAAAAGTTCCTGGTATCAGACAAGAGCAGAGTAGTAAAAGCTGAGGTATGACAGAAGAAATCCTACTTCTGTGAAGTCAGGGGGAAGCCTGACTGTCAACGGGCATCAATACTTCATCACACTAATATGGAGAACATCCAGCAACATGAAAAATACCTTTCATGGGGGTTTTTTTCCTCATTGTGGCATCAGTAAAATCAGTTAAAACTGCAGTTATAATGCCTCTAAAATACAACAGTGACACCTACCATTTTGTAAAATTTGTTTTGCTCAAAATGGAAAAAAATGTTCTAAATCCAGAGCATCTGGTTTTGTTTAGTAGTATTCTGCTTTGGAATGCTGGCTAAATATAATTTTCTACCATTTTCTTCAGAATAGACACGAGTAGAACCAAATCTCTTGATTTTACAAGGGAGAATAACACAGTATCAGAGCTCTGAGAAAGAAATACTTCCAAATTCAGTGGTGAAGGCAGAAGAGGTGGTCAGACTCACCCCAACTACCTGTCCTGTGCCTGCGTGCCCAGCTCAGCGGCTCTTGGGAATGAAGCGGTAATACAGGTACTCGTCGCGGAACTCAAACTCGTTGGTGATGTGCTGCACGACGCCTCCCTTCAGCAGCCTGTCCCCATACACCACAGCTTCTCCGCGGTCAGAGGCAAGGCCGACTTGCATGAGCCAGTTCACCAGGTCACAGCCAAAGAAGATGCCAGTGGAGATCTTTGCACCACACCTGTATGTCAAAGGAATGATTCACCCACATGTTCTGTAAATCTGGTATCACCACTGCACGATGGGGAAAGGCAAGGAAAAATAGCAGGAAACAAGGAAAGACATCGTGATAGTTAAGAGAGTGTTAGAAAAGAATTTGCAAGTTTTGTATATTTGGGACATGCCAGTGTTCACTACCTTTTCCTATAGACATTTCAATGAGAAGCAATATTGACATACAAAGTTGGTTTAGGCTTCTAAATAAAATTCAAATTGCAAATAAAATTCAGCGGACATCAGTAGCGTTTTCCCTCACACAAATGTAATGACACAATGTAATTCTATTTCTTGGATACTTACTTCCCATGTACTTCTTATCATGACCCTTTCTGCAACAAAATATCTGATCTGAGAGCAACCTGACCCCATCAACAGGGATTCCGTTTGAATTTTAATTATTTTTATAATTTCTGAACGCTTTCAAACAGACACTAACTGCTTACACATATTGTAAACAAAGCCCATTTATAACTTGCATATCCTGTATAAACATTGATCACACATACAGTACTAAGAATAAACAAAACCTTTAAAACAAGTATATTTTTTTAACATATTTATGAGGAAATGATACTATCATCTGCCTAGTGTCAGCAGACATACCGTGCAAAAATTTACCTGCAGCAATGAACATTTCTGGTTATCTAAAATCTATTATGTGGATCCTAAGTACAGGTTTCTAAAGGTAATTAAGAGCTAAAATACAGCATTTTTGTCCCTATTTTTTTTAAGTTAAAAGTAGCAGTAACACAGAGCAAGAGTTAACATCTATTAGCAGATGTAAAAATGAAAAAATTAAAATCCATGGTTACAACGTTTCAGTTACAGCACATTTTAATCAAAGAGGATAGGATCAAGTTAGATGAGTATTTAAATTGACAAGATAAAATTATAAGATAAATGCATTGTTTTAATTCATTAGGAGAAATAAGACGTAAACCAAGCTCTGCATAAGCATAGTATTGCAACAATAAGGCAACAAATGTCATCATTTCATGTATTCTCAGGTGGATATGCTTAATAAAAACCACAAAGTACAACTAAATGAACAGCCCTAAGCCCAAGAAACCACAATAGCAGCAGAGGCACAGGACAAACAGCTGTAAAACCTGTTCTACTTCACAACTGACATTTTCTGATACATCTTTCTTATGGAACATTACGGACTTCTGAACAGACTGAACAAAATCATTATGCTGTCTAAAACAGTTTTGCAATATGGTTTTGGACTACCTGACCATTAAAAGACAACCCCACCCTGCCAAGCTAGTCCTACTTAAAAGCTTACATTACAAGAATAGTCAAAGTGTCCTGTTAGAATAATTCATGTCTCCATTTCACATACTTAAATAAAGGCAGAAAGTTTTCTTGTCTCTGCTGCTTCTGTAAGCTTTTTTCTTCTCATCTACCTACATATATCTGAAGGCATAATCTTTGATTTAGGTAACACAATTTGCCTCCGAAATCTTTACTGGTCTCATTAAGTGAAGTTTAGGCCGCATTAGAAGTATAAGTAAAGAAATGATATAAATTTGGAAGCTGTTGAAGTCCTAAACCCACTACAATCTCACACATTGAGCAGCCTCTGAGGACCCACTAAAATCAGTTGCAACAGTTTTGCCTCCTGTAAAAGCTACATATCAGTAAACATTTATTTACAAATACAGACAGTGTCTTACTCTACAAACAAAACAAACAAAGGGTCTCCATACAATTCTACAGGTGTTATCATATACATTTTTTAAGAAAGATTTTGTGCTCTGAGCTCTAGTTAAATGAAAAACCTGGAGAAACCCCTTAATGATATAAAACCTTTAATAATTTATTTAAAACCTAGGTGGGATAATTTGATAACTTGTGCCTCAATGTTTCAATATGAGGCTAGAAACATTTCTATTACAGTTAAATTTTTAATCCTTATCTTAAGTTTTGAATGACTATACACAACAGGAATGACCTACAAAATTAACTGCATTTCATGGTTTTCAAAAAATGAGCTATGTGCTTTGTGACAGTTTGTATGTGCAGGGAAGAACCTTACCTTCTGCCTTTGACAATACTTTTGACACAGTGATCTCTATGATAACGAACAAACTGTTGACAGGTCATCCTGATTTCCTCAGGTACAGTGGCATCTGTATGCCCTGCTGCTTCTCTTCCACCCCAGAAAATCTCAAGTCTACAAAACACACACACACAAAAAAAAAAAAAAAAAGAAAAAGAAAAAATCAATATAGCAAATCAAGCAGTATTTTTTTTTGAAACTGCAAATAATAGGATGGACCTCCCAGGAAGCTTATCAGAACTTCTTTTTGTGTCTAATACTTTACATATAATCTTCCTAATATATTTGTATGGCTTTTGAACACAGAGGTGTTATTCTAGACTTGGGCAGAAGGAAAGTCAGAGAGTAGCTGGGAGCCAGCTGTTGCTGCTGGATTCACAGGGCAGCCAGTTAGCTCTACGGTAAAGGCAGCTTTGTGCAACTCACTCCTCCCACTGTGGAAGGAAACAGCCACACAAAGTACTGGCATGGGGTTATGAACACAGCACTTTTAAAATAGTAGTGATACATTATGATTCAGCATCCAGACCTAAGTTTTATTTTATCAGCTGAAATAATTTCTGATGATCCTTCATTTGGCAAAATTTCACCTCTAGGGAGCCTGCAGGACTTATGTCTTTGAAAGTGTCATTAGCAGAACAACCTCACACTCAGTGAACTGCAATTACCTCTCTACAAGTGGGAGAGAAAAGAAGTTTGGAAGATTAACTAAACAGGAAACCAAATACTATAGCACTAAAAACACCCTTCAAAAACAATTATTAGTATTATTAGGTTTATATGTGTAAATGCAAAGATTCTATTTACCTTCGCTTGAATGGCAGAATGATTAAATGCTTATCTAAGCCAAAAATACCAAAGCAAATGAAGCCCTGGAGAGAAAAAAAAATACAGAAAAAGCAACATGAAGCAAAAGCTTTGGCTTTTATAGAACAGAAATTAAAAATTCAGTGCCAAATACATTTCATGTATACATGGAAAGTATCCCTCTCCTCTAAATATCATTCAATATGCATTTTGTTTCTGCTTTGATTTTTCATTTGGACCTTAAAAAGACATATCAATACCTAACAGTCCATCATATAAAACCTTTCAAGAAATAGTTCAGTAAAAATAATGCTGTGACATGCAACTTTGGGATAACTGGCAACCTTACATAGCCAGGTATTTTGCTATATGTAAATCTGTATTTCTTAATGCCAAGGAAAGAACAGACTTTACTGTAACTTGAGTGCTAGAATGCTTTCTACTTAATTAATTTTTCTGTGCAGCTTTTATATAAAACTATCATTACTTGATACTGCAGTGCTTCCTGTAGGCACATGTGCCACGGATGTGTAAAATGTTCCTCTAGTGTGTGTATTAACACTGCCTGGCTTTCACCTTCATGGCTGACAAAGCTGCCTTGTGTCAGGTGCACTGAAACAGGCAGGTGCAGCCAGAACCAGCATCCATCTTCAGCTCTTCACTATGGTGCTGTCACTGAAACCAGAGATAGTAACTTAAACCTTACAGAGAAAGCATCCATGGAGCTGCCTTGCTACTGATGTAACTCCACAGAAAGAGACACCAGTGAAGCTTTGGTACAAATAAGGCTAAATTCCTAATCAGTTTCCATGAGCATTTGGCATTAAGTTGTCTTTTGCACTTTTGAAAGTGTTCATGGTCCTAGAAGATGTGCATTAGCTGCTGTGACACCCACTAACATGGTCATTTTCAGAACAGACACTGGTAAGTACCTGACCAAAATTAAACACAGCACAGAAGAACTGCAATTCCACATACAACCTTCCAGGCTCTTGGTTGAACAGCCACCACAAGCAACTGGAGAGATTCTGCAAAGAAAACAGAAAAAACAACAAAACCCACAAACATAACCTGACTGTTAAAAATCAAAACCTTTCTACTCCTCACATGCTAATAATTCTTGCACCCAGGTTCATGGTCTCTATTTAAAAAATTATTCAGATAAAGACAAGTAAGAGGAATAAACACCTTAAAACATCATCTCAGTTAGGCTTAATAGCTTGGTAGGAGGGGGAACCTTGGCTCTTTTAAACATAATAATGCAAAACATAGCAGTGTAAGAGCTCTTTATATGTTTATGTAAGTAACTTGCCTCAAGCATACTTAGGTTTTCAACATAACACAGACAATATGAGCCCAGACAGATTTGCAGTGTTTGTTTTAAGGCTGCTAGGCTGAGGCCAGTGCTTTCTACATATTTCTTTGCAGAGTTAGGATTATGTTAAGGTGAAGCACATACCACTTCAGCTATTTGAGATGCCTGATAGAAGGAGGAAACCTCCAAAGTTAACCCATTTGGGTGTAAAGGCTAATTCTTTAAAGTGACTGATCTTACTTCATAGTATCTACATAATCATTCAGAAACAGCTAAAATATAGGCTAACAGTTGGGGTACTTGTTAAATATAAAAGATGTAAAAAAAATACTAGCATAGAATACTTGATACAGGAAATTTGAGAGGGAAATATTTCATTTTGTAATTTAACAGAACCTGAAAAGCAACAGCAGTAGCTATTAACCCACATTGTTGTGCCATACTCTCCTGCTTTGTAGTATTACATATTTGTGCCACAGGATTTTCATTTCAAATAAAAATGCTTCTCCTAACTAACATCCACTAGAAACTCAACTGAGTATTACATTCAGAGAGCAGTTTCTTGCCTTTGTCACAGTTAAAAATTAAAATTATATCCCAATGCATTACATTCTGGTATTTCACACTTTGTGGTATTTGTACATAGGAGCAACAACCAACACATCTTGGAGTCAGTAATGATGAATTAACACTACCTTAGTAACTTGTTTGTTGCTCCAAACACCACTAAAACCAACAAAATTGAGTTGTATTTTCCCATTTAAAATAATCTTAAGATTATTCTTATCACCTCAGAGAAATTCAAACACCAATATAAGCCTGATCAGATAGAACAATTTTTGTAGTCTCCTTCAGAAGCAGAATTCAGTTTATATTATTAACTGATAATTGTCAAGAGAAGAAGACCAACTCTTGAGAAAACTGAGAAGAGGGGCAGTAGTGATGAATGATATAGTTCTGTAACTTCATTTTTTTCCCTTTAGGGTTCTCTGGTATCTTGTTCACTATCATCAATCTTAACTTGTGTTTAACTTATGATGTGGCACAGAAAAATTAATTTTATGACATCCCTCTTCCAAGTAAGAAACCAAAATATAGCCTCTGTTTTATTTAATGAATTGTTACTGAAGCAACTGGAAGATTTTTACTGGATTGTCTACATAGCTTTCCTAAAAATCATTCTACCTCAATGAGTTAACATGAGGAGAAAAAATATTTACAGCAAATAGGCCAACAATAAGAAGCAAGCACAGCAGCACATGTCTGGCCAGCTGTTTGTCTCCAGTCTGTAGAATCTGTTCTTCCTGAGCCAACACACATGTTTGAGCACTGCAGTGACTCATACATTGATCCACTGAAAAACAAATCAAAAATTTTTCATTAGGCTTCTATCCTGAGAACTCCATGAACAAACTTGCTAATGTAACTTGCTGAGTCAAATTAGCTTGTTAAGTATCTTTACTGAAGTGACACGCAAAAAATTTAATATAGGCTGTGACAAGAACCTGCTCAGACATCTACTCTCAAATGAAACAGTTGAAGTTTACATGTGCTCATAAAATGAAAAAGGTTTTTCCAACAGAATTTTTCTTTCAAAGATTTAATTCAAACTAAATGTGTGGTTAACATTGAGAAAGCACTATTAGAATTAATGAAAATAATGAAAAAAATGTTTCTCTGAACAGTTTTTAAATTTTAAATTTATTTCTGAAAAAAAATCAAATATACTGTCAGCTCTAATGTTTTTACTCCGCATCTCAGTGTTGTTTATCTCTACATCCGACAGACAACCCTATTTATTTCAGGCCTGTAACTGTATTTTTAACACGATCATAATTGTACCAATGAAAAGAGTCAAACACAGAGAGAATGGATGCTTTCTTCCAGCTACAGAGTTCTAAGAAGTTCTGAGTATCTTCCTCTAGATGGCAGTGAAAAACTTCCTGCCAAGGCCATACGTAAGAATTTGTACCAGATGACTCGAAGCAGTTCAGTGAGATAGTAGAAGAATTAGTAATTATTGCAGCCAAAGTTACACAAGTATATGCATTACAATTTGCTTTTACTGATTTATAGTTTTGAAGTGTTCACTCAGGAGGCTGAAATAATTTCCACTCAATCATAAGGTATTTTCTACCTTATCTTTTAGGATAAGAAAATTAGATTTGCCTTCCTCTATTCTTGAAGACATTCTTACGGTGCTTGCCTGAACTACTAAATCGATAAAATAGTTGGCAATTGGTAGAAAGAGAGCATTTTGTGAGACATAACTGAAGTACGCTTCATTGCGAAATATTTAGATTTACTGAAATTTATGTTGCATGCAAACAAAGCATAAGGGTATGATCATCCTGTTAAGAATGCATGAAAACAAGAAAAAACCCAGAAAAGAGTCAAGTTGTACTGGCAGCTAACTTTGATTACTGACAGTGATGCACAGTGAGAATGCACTGGGCATGAAGTTTTCAGACAGGTGTTGAACAATCAGTTCAACCCATCTTTTTCTATTTTAATGACTCCTAAGGCCATCTTAGTCAATTTTCTCCATCTCTCTTCTCTAGACATAAATAGTAAACAGCAGCATGGAAATTTAATCTAATTTGCAATACGCACTTGCTCCTCTAGATCTTATTTAGTGTTCAAAACCTGTGCCTGATTACAACAAAGGCTTTTTTAAAAGATGCAAGATGTGAAATGAGGATCTGAAAAAAGTAGTTTATTTTAAAAGCTTGGTGCAAAGTAGGGGTTTACATTCAACTTCCCAGCATCCAGACAAGACAACGATGGAGAGGTAAAGTCTGAATGCTCAGAACACACTAAAGTAGCTTTATGTTTAAAAAGTGACATCCAAAACAACAGCTCCAACAGTTTCTTTGTGAGAATAACACACAGATGTTGGGGAAGAGGCTGTAGTGTTGAAACAAGGAGATACTACTGCTTTACCTGTCTCAATTGGAGGAACCTTGCTTTCAACAGCATTTGACACTGCTTTGCTGTCTTTAGCACAGGATAATTCACCATTTGTTGTTTGACAAGAACAGCAACCTATTAAATATATACAGTAATAGGACAGTTAGCTTCTTTCACTACCATAATTTATTTTCCAAGTGTAACAATATATTCTATGCAGCTTTAACTATTATGTTCAAAAATAACTCAAAAGGAGAAGACAGACAATTTTTCCAGTTTGTTGAAAGGGTAAATGGGTCACAATACTAATAGGTCACTAATACTAATAGTTTAACATAACACTACCACCATTGAAGCAACAGAATTGCTTTTAGTCATAGGCAAAAATCCAGGAAGTGGTTATATTGCTTTTAGTTATAGGCAAAAAAAAACAGATCAAAAAGGCTACATACAAAAAAGGATTGGAAACACATTGAGTGTTTCTGTGGGCATTTAATTCATTCTCTGAGAGACAATTTAGTGGGTAAACAATCTAAGATGCCTAGTGGGCTGCATTTATCACATCCTTATCAAGGCATCACTACTCACATAAAAATCATACACAGGCTTTTCTTCTTGTCCACTTACACAACTCTTACCACAGTAACAATCAATTTTTATTAGAAACACAAACCTTAATACTTGGGCAGTTATATCTAGATTTTCTTCTATTCTAATCTAACACCTGAAGATGTAAACTCTCCTTCCCAGGTCAGAATTACATTTGAAATATTAGTTTATAGCACTCTAAACCAGTTATTCTTTATAAAAATAGACTTTGTATACCTCTTTCTGCAGATGTCTGTGCAGAAGATCTTGGAGAAGATTGTGCAGAAGATTCTGGAGAAGACTGTGCAGAAGATTCTGGAGAAGACTGTGCAGAAGATTCTGGAGAAGACTGAGTCATAGTGGCTGAAATATGATTCTGCCTACTCCCTTCCACTTCAACCTCCTCCACTGAGCTACGTGGTGAGTATGGGTTCAACACCCCATAGCTGGATCCTTGCCTACTTCTGTTCATGCACATCAGTGAGATACCTGACATCAATATACTGATCAACAGTATCACTGCTGTGGTAATTATCTGTTAAGAAAGCAAAGAAAGTGCACTTAAATATAGGAAATTAATTGCATATGTCTTTCTAACTTCTGTACTTTTCTAAATACACTTACAAATGTGTCTGAACAAGACTGTTTCCTGTATTTACTGTTCTTGCACCTCATGGCACTGAAAGATACTAATTTTCCTTGCCTGAGTAACTCAGGCTTTTTGTTTGTTTTTTTTTAAAGTGTGGAGCCCCATTTCCCATGCAACCCAAGAATATCCCCTCACTGTCCTCCCCCTTCCTCTCAGGGTCACCAGTGTTCTGGGCTAAGTTCTGCACAGGTGTCTTTTAATTCCAAAGAGGAATGTGCTCTAATTTACATTCTTTAGCCAATGGGGAGCACCCTATTAATTAACCTTTCCTTCTAATCATCTGCACTGATAACCAGAATCAACTCTGAGGCTATTTAGTAACTGTTAAAGTGCCACATGAACAATCCTGAGTGACTCATGGACTTTCTGTCCATAAGAAAGAGAGGGAGAAAGCATGACAAATACCTATGCTAGTACACTTCAAATCCTCTGATAAGAGGAACTATTTGCTGGTAAAAATTGTAGTTCAGGGTCTTTTAACCTATGATTATGCTGAGAAGCCTGCCATAGTGAAAGCAGTTACTGTTACACAGGTGATGCATATCCTATCTATTACAGACCAACAGCCATTAATTAGATATTGGATAATAACAACTTTAGATAACTATCCTGCTAGAATACAAATTAGTCACCAGGAAAAGAGCTCTGTAATTCACTACCACTCCTAAGTTTTTTCTTTAAAAAGTCTACTCCCTTTTTTCCTTAGTCATAGCTGCCTAAACATGAAGGTCCTTCTCCAAACATAAGCATTCTACAATGATACTTTTATTACAGTAGCCTGTACTTTGACTGAAAGCTACTTGCACACGTAGCATGGCAGAAATCTGAAGTGATGAGGACAGAACATGTTCATACCTGATGCTTTCCATAGAAAAAGGCAGAGTCAATACTAGTGTTGTTACATTCACCAACAATTAGTAAGATTCCTACCAGAACTGTTGGGATTCTGAAAGAACAAAATAGGAAGTACATAACATATTTATCATGCTCCCACTAATTCAGCAGGGATGCATTTGAATTAACTTACCCCCATCCAGCTATGATGATAAACCCAATGGGAATCTTTACTGTTTCCCTCTTCTTCAATAGAAACAAAGAAAAAGATAGAAAACCTAAAAAAACAAACAAAACCAAAAGAAATGCCTTGTTTATTATTAAAAAGGGAACTGGTAAGTACAGAGCCTAGAAACTCTATGATGTGACCTACTCAATAGCTTAAAATATTATTCTCAGTCCTTTAAATATTCCAAAATCATTTGTCTGATTGTATTCTGAGAAAGTAAATCAGAAATACCCACTGCCTAAAAAATCATGTTAATAGTGAAACATTGAAAAAATTCCAGGACATTTTATATTCAATAGTCACTTCTAAACGCTAAGAAAGGTTCACAAGAGTAAAAAAGATGTCATAAGAACGTTTAACATACAAGTAACTAATTTCTTTAGGTATTAACAAGCAGTTTTCTATCCAACACCCTTTAGCAATCAACAAATAGTGTTGGATTCACTTGTAACATTTCTGTAAAAACTGACCAGTCCTTTGTAAAGTCAATGATAAATTTAACTAAAAAGTTTTGCATATTTTTACATATAGAACTCTTTCGGGAGCACCTTCTGGAACTGCCTAGCCTAATCACACCTCAGCAATATTCTCATGTGGAAGCAAAGCTAGTATTTATGTTAGGCCCCACCAATCATGAGCTATGTACTTTAGCTAAACAAATATAACTCACTCCAGAAAAACACCACAGGAATTAAACCTGTAGATTCCGGACAAAAATATCTTTGAATATCTAAAGTCTTTTTTCTTTTAATCCCATATGTAAGGTTCTCCAAGCTTCTTGAAGCATCTTTCAATTCTTTCAAGTTCAATTCCAGCATTAATCTTATGCACACATATTGTTTTTAGAAACTACAATTTCCAGGGGAAAGAGGTGTTAAAGCTACTTGGGTATTTCCCTTCATTCTGTATTTTCTATTTTTTTTGTTGCATCAGTTTTTAAATCTACTTAATGCTAAGTAATTAAAATCTTAAACTCTGCATTAATTAAAAATCATCATTAAGACTTTGACTAGCTGAAGGGCAGCTCCCCATATTCACTCTATTTGTAGTTGCTTCTGCCTTGAGAGCAGGCTCTTGTCTCTTGTCACACACCAGCCAGGCCACTGTATCCAGCAAAGGCAAGCCACACCTGCCCAGGCAGAGGCTTCCAGCAGCAGCAGCAGTGCCTGACACTAAACCTCAGCACAACTTCCAGGTATCCCCATCTGTAGAACTACAAACAAGTGAAAGGAACAAGTACTCCAAAGAATATAATTAATGTTATTTCAGGACATTAATCCTTCATTACAGTACCTGGGCTCTGCCTAGAGAAGTCATACCTGTCCATAGGTAGGTGCTATAAAGTGAGCTGTAGAGGAATATAAATACGAGGATCTGGATGGTGATGTCTTTCTCTTTAACAGTGAAATTCCATGCCACCATTCCAATGCAAGCAATAAACTGGAAAGAAAAGTAAGATACCATCATTTAAACTGGGAAAGCAGAATGACAAAAAAAACTGAACAGAGAGTTATATACCTGCAGTATGCTTTAAACTCCATCCCCAGATGCACTGGAGGGTGATTTTATGAACTGGATACTTCATTTAGCAGTAAAGTACTGCCATAGTAAATTCAGTATTACAGTTGTGTCACTATGCTACCTTATTTTCAGGAGAGGTTTTTTGACAGCAAGTACATAGCTCATATAAACTAGGAGTAAGGCAAATCAGGTAAAGCCCCCAACTTTATATATATCTTACAGTAAGTAAATGGTGATGGTTTTGGCAAATACAAAACTTTTACCTGAAATTATCTGCACAGGAAACTGAGGTTAACAGGTATTTGTTCAGCCAAGAATTACACCAGTTGTCACCCAGTGATATTCCATATATGATAATTTTAACAACTAAGGAATCTAAAAAGATAGGCTGAAGTATTGTGTAAACAGTAACACAATAGTTCTATTTTTTTTAAGATGAAAGCTAGTTTTGTTGGTACAGAACAGAAGCACCTGCAATTCTCATACATGACACTTTTCAAATGTGACTCCATGATCAGAGCTCAGAGAGTTTACAATATAAAGACATATTAAAAAAAAAAAAAACAACTTAAAAAAACCCTACAGAACACTTCAGAAAGCACTACCACACAGATGTTATACAAGCACAGGCTGCTCCATTTGTGCAGTTGACTTCAAGGGAATAAGGAGCATGTACTCTGTAGTTCTCTCTCAGATTAAATAACAATTAAAATTAATCCAGAGCCACCTGGCTTTGGCTTTCCCTAGCCACCAGCATTCCCACACACCCTTGTACATCCTTGCACCAGCACTTGCACCTGCTGATCTCTCAGCAAGAGCTTCAGAGACATAAACCAGTACAGGGATTATTTTTCTATTTAGCTCCTTGAATAGGGTCACTATAGAGTCAAACACAGGCTGCTGCTCCTGGTATTGCCAGCTTCAGATGGGTATAATTGAAACAGAAGTGCACTCAACAGTATTGGGCAATAACTAAGAAAACATCTCAGAAGCCACTCCATTCTGATTGTTTATAGTTCTGTTTAGGAATCACAGTGCCCACATTAACTATCATTTTCTTCAAGGGTGTATTTCACAGCACTGAAATTGTTTAGACAAATCACACAGTAGATTCACCTGCTCTCCACAGTTGGCTATAAAGGTATCACTGTAAAAATCAAACTTCCAAAATGGTTAAAAAATACTTAAATCCTAAACCTCATACAGCATTCTCCTTACTACTAACCTGAGCAACAAGTAGATTTGTTGTAATCATATGAGGAATCTGTTTGTATTTCTTACTCAGAACAACAACAGTAAGAGACCAGGTCTGTAACATACAAGAAGAATAATTAATTTAAAAATAAAACAAAACCCAAAAGAACAATATGAGTATTCTGGCAGATGATGGTGAAATTAAATATACAACAGATCTTAGCAACATGACTACTACAGTGTGCTGCCAGCCCCTTTGCCCCAGCAGTTGTGGTCACAAAAAGCAATGCATCTTGGTGTTCTCATGTTGCTGAAGTATTTCCAGGAAAGATCAAGCACTTGCCAGGAGCATGCAGAAACCTGTTAGTTCCTCAGGACACAAATGACCACAGTGTAGCCTGGCAATTTAGAATTTAAAATCCACACCCACCTCCCCTGGATCTCCCAAAATTATCTGACCAGCAAGAGTTAACATTCACTTCTGGCTTCCCTTCAGGCACAGTTTCAAGACAAAAGGACTTCAATAAGACAACAACTTCAGAAAATTCCAACTCCTCCCAACATGGATGTTTTTATTTTTAAAAAGCAAATAAAATCATCATACTATCTGTACTTTCTATAAAACCAAAACAAAATTAATATTGGACTTCTGGATTATCAACTCGGTTTTTAGGAAAATAATTTCTAGTAAAGGAATTTGATAAACATAAATTTTTCAGGCTAAACTATTTCATTAATGCTAATTAAGACTTCATTAAACAAATATGCACTGACATTTCTGGAGATGAAGTTTGTACAGAGCCTTCATTACTGTGATATCCAAGCACTTCACTTGGCTTGATGCAACTAGTCTCTGTGGTGTAAACTACTACTTTAATTCCCTCACACTCTGTTATTAAAACAAGAAAACAAACCTAACAAAAAAACCTCTCAAGCCCTGCATTAAATGCTCTAATTCAGTCATTCATCTTTCTGTACAGTGCATCTTTCCAGCAGACCCACTGCTTAATCAGGATTTTTAACTCCTTCCTCATGCCTCTGCACCAGGCTGTGATGAGGAAATGCAGCTCCTCCGATGACTCGGTTTGCTGCTTACGCAGCCGGGCTGCCCTGACCAGAGTCCCTTTGTGTCTCACCCCAGCAGCACCTACCAGAGAGATGAGGCTGACGATGCTGATGTCAAAGCTGACGTTTTGCAGTGCAACTGCCAGTGGGTTGGGGTCCATGGATGGGATGGTCAGCAGCCATGCAGAAACATACATTATGGGGGCAGACACAAACGTGCTTATCACCATGCCTGAGGTAATCTGCCAAGAGTCAAACAGAAGCAGCAACAGAGTTAATCACACCTCAAGCTAAATAATCTGCTTTCAAAAATATAACTGGCAAAATTGGACCTTTGAATTAAACATACCTAGACCTTTAACAAATAACGAGCTGTTCTATAACAAATTATTTAGAATTTGAGCCAGAAGGTATCTGGTTTATACACAGAGTTAAACTGAAAATTTTAACAAGCTTCTTAAAAAGCAGGAGTAGAGTTTCCTACTGCAAATTTCTACAGAGCTTTTTCATGGGTGTCAAATATACTAATGACTGCAGTCTAGGATGAATATACACTGTCACAATTTTCTTTTGGATATAAACATTCACACCATAAATAACTAAAAAAACAAGTAGCTATGTAAATATTAATATGCACCAATTCATGAGAAGAAACCATATATATTTGCAAGCAATTTCTAGTTTGGCTTCTCATTGTCTTTCAACTTTCTTTAATTTGCACAGTAATGGAAGTGTGAGTTATTACTCATACTAGAGACTCTGCTTTAAAGAAATTTCTTAAGTTTGTAGAGTATAAAATTCTATCTTGCAAGATTTACTTTCATTATCCTTTTATCTTAAAAAAATAAATACATCTAAACAATTCCAAAATAGACACGATTAAAAACAATGAAAATCAATAAAAGTGCGTTAATGTCACTTCAAGTGGAAGAAAGAATTCTAAAATTTCTATTTAAAGTTGAAAAGGTACCCTCTACTGTGTACATATAAAAAAAGTAAAATGCTTTCTATCACAAGATTTAACTGAAGGGCAGCACAACTGAATCAGTTAAAGCTTAAGATCTTCCACAAATTTTCAGCTATGACACTATTCTTACTGAAGTCAGTAACATAATTTCTTTTTTCCCCTACAAAAGCATCTCTAAGATAAGGTCGTTGAAAAAAAGACAAAAAACACAACCCCAAAAAACAAAGATACAAGTTCTTTATATCTGAAGTTATCCTATCTCTTCCTACTAGAGTCACAAATAGAAAAATATAAAAAAGGATGAGGACTATCAAGATGCTTAAGACATCAGAAAAGATCCTGGGAGTACAAACAATTCTAAGATACCTATACTACAGAAAAGGAAATTCTTCAAGATTACTTATTTATTTATTTCATCAAAGAAGTTAAGCTCAAAGTTAGGACATATTTGGACAAGTTTAACTACATACAATTCCTACTTCCATGTTAAATTGACTTGCAAATATTGCGACACCAGGTGCTGCTGGAAAAACTCCATAAAGAAATGCATAGTTTGATAAACTGGTGTGATTGACCATGCTGTCACTCTTGTCCAAGAGTTCCACCATCTCTCTACAGAGAAATGGCATCATGAGCCTGAAAGAAAGGAGAAAAAGTAATTGAAAAAATATTACTCAACCTACAACAATAGACCCCTCTTTACCCTGAAAATTAATAAAAAGGAAATTTAAGTCTTGTTTGAATAGTACTTATGAAAAGTAATATGGGCATCACTTAGAACAACTGCCTTTATTGTTATCAAAATATATATTTACCAGCTGCTTTAAAATCCCACATCATAAATTACATTAAAATGAAAAGGACAAACATGACGACAAACTCAGGTATAGAAGCAGCTTCCCTGATTGTGCAGACACATTCTTTGTACAAACTTCAGATTTAGGATGGTAAAACATTAAATACCCCCTCATTTTTCAACTGTTACAGTAATAGTAGTTATAAGCAGTCAGCAGCTCTGAAATTCAGTCCACCTTTCTGCAAGCTGTCTGAAATATGATAAGTATCCCATGCCAAAAGTTTTGGCCAGCAAACTGCTGGCATCAAGGCTATTTCAGCAATAGCCCAGATCACATACAGACTCAATGTAAGCCTTATATAGGCTTACAGTGAAGCAAAGTGGCAACATTAAACAATGTTTTTCACCTTTTTTTCATTACAAAATTTGTCATTAAGCTGGTTTACAGACTAAGTCTTGAGCTTTGCTGATTAGTTATACTTGATACTGAAATGCACCTTCAAATTTTACAATATAAATTTGAAAACCAAACATACTATTACGTTAATTGTAGTTCAGTAGGAAATAAAATATTTAATATTAAATAAACATTCCCTGAGATATAATCAAGGGAAGATAATGATAGTGTAAGTTCTAAATAGAACTTGGCATTTATTCATGCTTAAAATTCAAGCAGTTTTAGAGCAGTAAGTGACCGTTTTTACATTCTTCCAGTATAGTAGTTTCAAAAATTTATAAAGTAAGGAAAAACAACTAATTTGGAGATGCATTGTTTAAGCCAAATAAAATACAAATACTAATCAAATATACTTAAACTCACTACTGTCTAACTATTTATTCAGTAAATTTTAATTTAAGCTAATTCCCCAAATACCCAATTCACAACAATGGCCTGTGGGCAGTCCATGAAGGCACAGCACCCCTGATTTTCTTTCTCTGCAGAGTCTGATAACAGGTTTCCAGTCTACTAAATTTCCTTTAAAATTTAACAGCTGTATTCTATCAGAGAGTTTGGGAAGCACTCACTCAAAACACCGGAAAGTGAAATGTACTACCAATGTAACATTTTTGAGAGAAAAACCATCTGACCAGGGTATTCAGAGCTTAAAACTACAGAACAAAATTATAAGAATACATAAATTGAACTTACAGTTTAGCTGTGATGAGAAGGATCAGTGCAACAACCATACCCTTTGTCAGTTTTTTTGTCTGTCCCACCATAGTCAGTCCAAGGTAAAAAAGTGCAGAGCCAGAAAATGAACTGGCCAGTCCATCAAGGAAGTTTTCAAGGTATTCAGGAATTTTCTGGCCAAGAATAAAGTTTGAGGCAATTCCTATGAAGACCATGAATACAATTGGGTTCTGCAAAACTCGAAGGAGTGCTAGGCCCACTATTTTGATTTTGCTCTGTGACACAGTGCGATTATTCCTCCACTTCTGGATTTCACAGAAGATAAACCCCAAGGGGTTTAGCATCATAAGAGATATTGGAGCCACTAGGTAAATGTACTGGAGATACTCTGGGTAAGTGGTTTGATATAAAGCTTCAACTAGAAGACAGGAAATGAAGAGTTATGAGTGATAACACTTCAGCAGAAAAATACATTGAAATATTGAAATTAAATTTTGCTCTCTGAAAACTAAAGAAAATAATTTAAGTTTCCTCCAGAAGGAACTAAAGAAATACATTTAATTAACAATCAATATAAGATAATGCAGGAAGAGAAGTACATCCAATTGTACTAGGCAACAGTTATCTAAAGAACGCATTAAAGACCAAAGATGAACCATCCAATACTATTTAATCAGCCCACGATTAGCCAACATTTACAGAAAAAGAGAAGAAAAACCAATGTAACAATTCTATGTTTCCTTTGAGTCATACCAAATGCTGGAAAAATTTTGGCTTTATTTCTGACTTGCTTTTCCTCCCCAGATACATGACAGTTGTGGACAATAAAATGCACCTTTGCAGGATACAAGTTGCTTCCCATCTTAAGGGAATCTCACTTCTTTGGAATTGAATCAGTTTTCAATGGGTAAGTCAGGTGTGATCTTTCTGCATTGATTCAATACAACACAACAAAGCAACAACCGGGAAAAAAAAAAGTTTATGACATAATTATTGGTTCATTCTCTGGGACTACTAAGGACTAGAGTTACTGCTATAGTTATGGTCCCTCAAGGAACTCTAAATCATGACCTTTTGCCTTCATTACTATTACATACTTCTGAGTCAAAGTAGAATTGCTTTTTATTTCACGTTTGTACTAAAGGCACTTCAAAAATAATGAAAATACTTAGGAAGCATATAAAAGATTCAATTCTAATGTGAATTTTAAAAAACACCCAAATGCTTTAAAAGTAGAATGTTCTCTTTTACCTGACTTATAATTTTTACATTTAATATTTTTTCATTATTAATAATTATCAATAATATGCTATAGGTATTAATAGTATGCCAATTATAATACACGTATATGTAGTTAATTGTATCATAATTATTACATATACTATGCATTAGATATAGGCTATGCAATTCACAGTTATTAATAACATTATTCATCTTTTCTGAAAAAGTTTTTCCTTGTGACTACATTTTTCAAAATCCAAAAGAGTTTTACCTTAGTATTATTTAAGTCTCTGGAATGACAGGAACGTCCAAGTGCTAAATCAGTGCTCACTTTGAACAGTCCCCTCTTTAGAGCAAATAAACTGACATTCTCAATTAGCTGATATCTTACAAATATTAAAAAAGGCACTAAAGGCATTTTTACTTGTACAGGCCATTATTAAAGTACATATAGAAGAACTACCCATATAAAATCCTAAATAGACTGCTGAACAGAAGTACCAAGTTTGGGGTTAGTTACTGCATTTAACAAGCCAGTTTTAAGCATTAAACACAACCTAGTAATCAAAACCATTTTAAACATGCAGGACACTTTTTTGTGCAAATAGGTTTTTTCCTAAAATTTCAAACCTGAAACTGATGTTTATGCTGCTTTATATAGAATGCCCATGTCACTCGAACACAACTTCACACAAGTCACGTGTAATTAATGCCTGAGTGAAAATTTTGTAAAAACTTTACTTTCTGGTAAAATGAAGCAGCATACTTAAGACAATAAATTAAGGTCTATAAGTACTTTCAATTATGTATGATGTCAAAATACATTTTATTTGGTACAAAAAGCGGAGTTAGATTACCGAGTCTATAGGTAAAAAAAATAAGAAATCAGTCTTATGGAATTGTTAAAACAGTAAAAATAATCCACAACTTCTGTCACTGATGAAAAATTTTCTTTTTATTCAAATCACGGTGCCTGCTTGCTGCTCATAACAAAAAAACTTTAATTTTTTTAAAAATCAATTTTCCATGTCCCAGCTGCTCAGAAGTACATATAAATCACACACTAGTTGTCCATGCTCAACACAATGAGTATGATTATAGTCACAGTGACTGTCACCTACACAGCACCTCTGCTACACCTGTGCTTTAGCACACAGCTCTAGAGAATACCTGAGTCTGTTTGTCAGACTTGTATCATTATTACCCTGTAATTAAAATCCCAAAGCTTTCTATCATAGTAATTCTGACTATACCAGAGGTGTGCTAACAAACCTCTCTACTAGTTGGTTCTTTTTCACCCCAACATCACTTTTTAATCTAGAACTATCATAACCATGATAACACAAAAACAGTGATAGGCTTCAAACATTTGACCCATATTTTGATTTTGCTATGTGCAAATCTTTTCAAACAGCAAAAAAGAGCATAGTAAAGAATTAATAAATAATAATAGCAATGTATTAAGGAAGTTACATGGGATAAAGACTCGGGAATGATTAAGAGTTCAAAATGCCTTTTTAAATAGTGTTGGTTTAGTTCACAATTTGTTAATATCTATTTTTTTCCTTCACAAATTTCCACTGCTACAGCATTTAAAAATATTTTTTCGTTAAAAGATCAGGCTTTGTTCAAAACACTACCTCCACTACATAAAAAACAGCAGCTGACCAGTTCTGCAAACACTTTAGAGAACTAGCTTGGGTAATATTTTACTAATAGCAAAAAGTTTGCATAGGTGACAGCATGAACCCAAGACCAGTGAAAGTTTGGGGATGGGAGAAGGGAAAGGACAAAAAGAAATAAACCTCAAGAGTCTACAATGTTTCTGTTGCAGTAACTATTCCAGTAAAGTTCTAAATGGTGTAGATTTTGTCAAGATCATACATAGAAAAAATATAAATAATATCTTATAAATCATGAGGTATCTGAGGAAATACGCAGTCTTACAAGAAAGTTGAAAGAATGTTTTAACCAGGATACAATGGAAATACATTCAGAGACCCCTAAAATACATATATAAAAAACCCCAAACTCTAATTGGCATCTAAAATTAATACCAACAAAGAAAGATGTAATTCCCACAACCTCATTTGTGGCATACTTCTGACTTCTTTCAAGAGGAATAAATCTCAGGAGATGCAACTGAGGGAAGCACGGTATTTTAATCTAAAAAAAAGTATGCCACTGCATTTGTCTAAATTTTATACATATCAAGGAAATTTGAAGAGAATAAGAAAGATTGAGGATTCTCCTGAACATGCTGCCTTGGAAAACGAGAAAGATACTGTTAACTCCTAAAGTATTCTAAAATATGGATCTACTTGTTACATATAATCTGGAATTGCATATTTGACCTTTCCTTTGTAATTGTATTTTCAATTCTGTAATCAAACACCTTGCTTGTGGTTTTGCTAGAACCAACTTGCTCTCTTGTTTTGGTTTTAACCCTTCCTAGATGATGAGTAGTAGTCTCAAAGAGAATTTGAGAGGCACTTCAGAAATTATTTCAATTGCATGGAACTTCAATTCAAAAATCAATTTCAAATTATGGAAATATAAAAGCAAACATGTCTAGAACAGTGACAATTAATTTTAAAGAAGAAAACATACTTACCTATTGGATATCCCAGCGCAAAGTCATTGCTTTGTGTAGCAAAAATAGGGAACAAACCTGCTTTGCTAAATCGGTTCTCAGGACTGGCTACTAACAATGTTAAAACACAGACTAAAAAAAACACAGCAGCTTTGGCAATTAAAACACTGTACAGGAAGGACCAATTCACATTAGAAAAATTAAGTACCACCATGTTTTTGAACAGTAAAGCCGGGAGTGCAAAACGGGACACAAAATTTCCCAGTCCTTTGGCCTGAGTTGATGTGATAATGTTGGCTCTTCCAGCTATGTAGCCACAAAGAATTATTCCAAAGCATTCCAGCAGGGCTGGGAAAAGCCTGCTTATTGACATAGAAGGGGGACTGCCGGTGGTGTTGAGTCCAGCTTGTCCAGGCACAGAAAGAGACATATTAGCTGAAGATGAGAGGTTCTTTGCAGAAAAGTCTAAATAGCTATCCATTTCCTCTGACCACCTCTTCCAAAAGAAGAGCGTGAAATGATCTCATCTGTAAAAGGAACAAATGTATATTTATTAAATTCATTCCTTTAAGTACAACCTTATGCCCTCTTAAATTATTACAGAACAGACAAGAGGAATAGACCTTACAAGAACTGAGCACCAGGAAAGAAAGATAAATCTGATGAAGAATCAAAGCTTCTCCACTCTGGTACAAAAACGTTTGGCAAGGTCCTCTCTACCTTCCAGAAAAATTTAGAATTTAAATGATCATATCAACCCTTGAAGCTTGTACCTTGCTTTGTGCAACATTGACCTCTCCCAACATTTCAATATCATGTGCTTACATGATATACATGATACACTTTTCAGCTAGCAAAGAATCCACACATGACACAGCAGCCAATGATCTAATTCATTGTGCTAGAGCTGACCCATACTTCCACATACAATTCTTTAGGTCTGTAGCAGTGAAATATAGGCATGCATGAAGCATTTATGTACAACACAAATATCTACCGACCCCCATTCCTCACTTGTTAGCAGCAATTCCCTTTGAAAGGGCTGATTACAACAGCACAGGTTCTATATGCAAGCAGACATGTAAAATCTGCAAATCAGAAGAGAGTGGACATCAAACACAAATATTCATTGGTCAATAGCAAGGTCCTGCCAGAAACAGATATGGCTTTGCCAATATAGCTCTGAAACCTGTGCAGTCCATCAGGTAACTCTGCACATAAAGTTCTGACATGACTAAATCCTGAAGTACTTTGTTTAGGAAGTCAAGATGACTTACCTCACTTTGTAGGGATAGAAACTAAGGCAAAGGTGAACTGATTTCCCCTAAGCTATTTAAGGTATCAGTGGTAAAGCCAAAATTGTCAAGTCCCAAACAATGCTTTGTACAGTACAATCTGTGCAAATTAACAACTGTTTTCAGAGTCTTCCCCAGCCTCTCTGTATCCTAGGAACACAGAACACAGCAGCCAGGCAAATAAGCAAGTAAATCAAGTCAATGCAAAGGTGAGGTCTTGTAAGATCCATTTCACACCCTGGCATCCAGCATATACATATTCACAAGCTTCAACTCTTTGACTCATGACTTTTATGTATGCCTGAGGCTTTTGGTAAGCACTTCTATGATGCTGTGGTAACTCATCTGGACTGAGCTGCTGCATCATCCAAATCTGTCCAGTAGCCTTGGCTATCCCTTCTCTCAAGGAAAATGAGTCTCACTCCAAGTAAGACTTATTTTAAAGGCTGTACTTCCTTATATTATAGATGATAAATTAGCTTAGATTTATTTGGACTAGGAGCTCAAAGTATTATTTGCTACAGAACAATGGGAAAACTTGCAGGAAATTAAGCAAACAACAAATCATTTCTTCTACTAAAAAACTTAAGGATGTTGTTGGAATATGGAAAATGTCCAAAAGAGAATCAGAGACACTGATCCTTGAAAGAAATCAGCCACATTCTACAGTAGATGCAAAATAAAAAACGGGTTTTCAGCACAGCCACATATCAAATTCTCCAAGCTTATAGCACTGCATAGAGGTAAGGCTCCCAGCAGTGTAATGTGTTCAACCTGCTCTCTCTCAAGGTATTTTTTTTCAGCAATAAGATACAGCTGAATTTTTTTAACCAAATACAACACTTGATGTGTAGTGGGAGTGTATTTCAACTGTATCTATCCCTAAATACTAGCATTCCTTCTCCTGTGCCTTCCTATTCAAGGCTAATGACAAGACTCTCTTCCTTCTGTATTAAAATCATCATTTCTCCTCACAAAATTGCTATAAAATACAGAAGTGCTCTTGTCCCCATTTCATAATTCAGAACTTAAACAAATATGACTGACTCTTGTGTTGTATCAGTCAACAGCACATACTAAATCCCCTATCTTCCTCACTAGATCAAAACTGACATGGATACACACCCACACATCCCAAACCATCTTTTGTAAGAGACAGACAGATTCCTGCAGCCTTCCTTCAGCCTACCTTCAACTACATCACAAGGGACCCTGTCAAGTCATACAGGACAAATTTTTGGTAAACCACATTAGTTTCAAAGAGAAGAACTCCACTACAGTAAAAGCTGCTCCTGGCACTCCTCAGAGGGCTTTGAGAATGAATCATCTCTTCAGCTCGAGAGACATGCACATCCCAAACCCTTTATATTTAACGCAGAGTTTCTATTGCCAAGCAGTGTTCTCCAGAAATGCAAGCTTTTGCATTCTGCATAACACAGTGAGTACCTCTCAGCACTTTTTGCTCTATAGGATACAGACATTTATATAAGTATTGTGAGATTATGTAATGACTAATCGCAGATTTCATACAGCGCCTTGGTACACCTCAGGCTTGTATCAAACTAGCATCTCACAAGAGTGAAATTATTTTCAATTCACAGTCCTAAATGAAATCAGAGGTAATGATCTCATGCAAACCCAAAATCTGATATATTCTACACAGAAATTAGCTTGTTTTTATAGTTGATGTAGCAAACTAACTAGACAAATGACACTATAATACAGTTGCAAGGGAAAGCACTTAGCTTTGACTCTATAGAACATATGATTTGTAGTTATGCCTTCGTGGACAGAGGATTGAGATTTGAATCCTTGAGAACTCAGCCACAGGTGCATTTTTGGGAACTGGAGGCCAATACAGACACAGATTTTAGGAATAATGCTGCCTTATCTGCTGTCAACTGTGCCAAGCACAGCTGCTTGCAGCCAGACTGTCAGCTTGCACAAGAGGAAACCTTGTATGAAGACCAACAATTGACACAGAGCAAGTAACAAGTGCAGTTTAAACTCCCCGTGAAACATTTCTCTTGTAGGTTGTCAATACTTGCAAAGTCTTAAAATTCACCAGACCAGAAACTCAATTCTCCAGCAGCTTTGAGTTAAGCAGTATCAGGTTCCTCTCCGAGTACAGAAATAGAGAAATTGTCTCCTTCACCAAAGGAAGGGGAAAACCCCTTTCATCTTCCTTTTCTAATGAAAGTCAAAGACAGCATGAGTGAATAAAAAAGATAACTTCAATGTATACCTCCGCTCTGGTCTCTCACTTTTAAGCTTTCAACTGATAATCACTCTCAGGATAATATGGTGACACTGGCAAGACCATGCACATTGCTCATAAATTATAACCCACAACATGACCTACTTTAATGCAATGCAGAAACTCCCCTACTTTAATGTAAGGATGACACATTTTATTTTACTCAGGGAGACTAAAATGGAATTGAGGTAGGAAGAGCCGCTCATAGCAGCTCTACTACCCTGTTCTCAGCTACGATAAGCGTATACTACATGCATTTTCATGTAAAAATTTGTGAAGTAAGTCAAAGAGGAAGAAACTTTAGAGAGAGAAAATCATAAAAGTAAGTGGGTAGAAGTGATTAGTGCAGTTCCTATTTTTGCAAGTTAACCACAATTTTTAACTTTTTCTTTATTAGGCTAAGAAAACAGAGAGAGTACAATATCAAAACACCAATTAGCACAAGAAATGGGCCACCTATATCTGGAAACCTAGACAATGCCACAAGAAACATCACACACCTTATATGTGTCTCTGAGCAGTTGTTTTTCAAGATGACATTTCCTCTGCCATCCTCCTCCCACGATGCCATTCCAAGAAAGCCCCTGGCTGTGGAGCAGCCGGGGAAGCCGAGGCCTGCCCTGAGCACACGACTGGCACAGCTCACACAGCAGCACTTCAAGCTCCACAAACCTCTGGCAGTGCACGAGCTCAGGCAGGGCCAAATGAAGCAACAGCTGCCAGCGGCACCCAATGTCAACTCAGGAAACGAACTAAAAAAATACCTCCCCTTAATTCTCACTACATCTGATCTTTGGGCTTGTCAACAAATAGATATTTACTTCTGAACTAAACAGCAAAACGTTTTTCAAAAGGTAGATAACATTTTCTTGCCAGCAGCCCTGAAAAAGCACCTCACGTGCACCACTTGCCAAATTAGGATGTAAAATCCTTTGACTTGCAGCCAGAGAGCTGCAACAAAACCAATCTCTCCCCTGCCCCTTCCCGGCCCATCGCTGCTCTCCTTCCCACGGTCACCCCAGCCAGGAGCACACAGCGTTTGCAAAGATAAAAAGCCAGCAGCACTGCCCTGCGTGACAGCTCAGCAGAAAACAGCGCCAGAAGCCGGGGAAATGAGCGGGCAGCTTACCTACTTAGCTTTCGGCAGGCGCCTCCGCACAGGGGTGCGTGCAGAGGGTTTGTGCTCTGTCAAACTGAGAACCGCTCTAAGGCCGAGGCCGCCGGTACCGAGGCCGGGGAGGGGAGGTCTGGCCCGCCCCGGCCCGCCCCGCCAGCGACAGCCCCGGCGCCGCGGGCGGCCGAGCGCCCCGGGCGGGCGGGCCGCGGGCGGCTGCGGCGGCCCCGGCGCGGGCGGCCCCGGGCAGGCCGGGGCTGCGGGCGCGGGACGGAGCGGCCGCAAGATGGCGGCTCGGCGGCCGCCGCGCGGGGGGCGGCCCGGAGCGGCGGGTCTCCGCCGCCGCCCCGGCCCCGAGGGGCTCTCCCGCCGCCGGGAGCCGCCTCCCCTGCAGAACGAGAGCGGGGCCAGCTCGGGCCGCTGCCGGGCCCCCCTCGCGGCTGCCGCCAGCTGCGCCCCCGTTATCGGCCCGAGCCCGCCTCGCCCGCAGCTCGGCGGGCCCGATAGCCGCGCTGGCTGCCGGCAGCAGCCGGTCCCGAGCCTCCCACACCCATTCCAGCTTTCCCGAGCAGTCAGAGCGCTTGGAAATAAAGCACCGTGTTTTCCACGTGCCATCAGTTCCACGGATTTGGCCAGTCGGTAATTTCCCCAGTAAAAACTAAAAACTGGTAATGGCCAAAGATTCTCTTGCAGAAAACGAGGACACAGCTTTCTCAAGGCTTTCCCTTTGTAATGCAATTGAGGGCACAGCGGTTCCAGCTGCCCTTTTCCTCAGAACAAGACACATACTGCCGCTGCAAAGACAGCAGGTGTGAATTCAGTGAACCTTATTCTCCCCTCCTGATCAGACTCAGACCAGCTTGCCTTACTTCTTAACTAGTGGCAATAGGTGGCCCACTGGGAGTAAGGCAGTTTTCCCGACTGATGGAATGTCGACCAGCCTGTGTGCTCAGGAGCTTCCCATTCCAAGCTTCCAGCAAAAAAAACCTCAAAAATACTAAAAAAAAAAAAAAAAACTTCCAAGGAACTTCCAGGAAACAAACAAACAAAACCCAAAACCTTTTTCCCTTTCAGGTAACACCTGAAAAAGACCAAAACAGAATGGAGAATTATCTCAACCAAAAAAAGAAGTATGTGACTGACAATTTATGAAGCATTGTGTCAGATAAGAATTTTTCCCATAGTTAGTTCTGTTCACAAGGTCTACTGTTGAAATGCTTACCAGAAACTTATATAGCAAGGGCAGCATTATAACAGAAATAACACTTAAGGGAATTAATTGGAAGTCCAGTTAAGAAAATTCTGTAAAGAATGCAGACAGGGACAGAAACTTGTGAGCATAAGCATGGCTCTTAGAAACTTTTAGAAGGTACTACCTTGTTGATATCATATGTCTGCTTTAACTTTAATTTAAAGATACTGATGCTTAAATTTTATACTTCTGCACTAGAAGTGTATACACTTACTAGAACCTCAACTGACATGAAGCAGCAGTGTCCGTGCTTGACTCCTCACTGCCTCTCATTCCTGTCTACATCCTGTCCCAACTCTAGGCCAACCCAGCCCAAGCAAAAGATCAGCAAGGGATTATTCCAAAGCTGTGCCAGGGTTTATTATGTATGTTTACTGCTGGGAGGTGGTGCAACCTGTTGGGTAACGCTCATCCACTGGTAACGTTAGGGTGATATTTTGTTTTGATGCAAACACTAATAAAGAAGGCTCTTTTGTTACTTTTTTCCACTGTTGAAGTTTCTCTGTTTGGCACCTGACAAAGAGCACTTTCAGACTGGTTGGGATTTGGTTTAGGAAATACAGTATAATAAGATCTTTCTGATTTTTTGGCTTTCTGTCATTCATTCCTATGGAAATGATACCTTAGAGGGACATGCTTTGGGGAGTAGCAAGGGAGGTATATCAGACCATACTAAGAACACTTGGTAAAAATGTATGCCTTCCCTTCTCTTGAATGCATTTTTTTCCCCTTTGAAAAGATCATTAGTGATTTAGCATTTAATAAAGTTTTTAAAATACAAGAATCCTTCAGCTGTTTGAGAAGAGCATACATTTGGCTGGATAGGCTGCTCATTGACTACTATTGATATCCACCAACCACCAGGCTGATTTCCCAAGGGATCAACAGTAACAGGACAGAGCTGTGTGTCCACCTCAGCTCTGGCATACCCAGTGTGCTAAATCAGGTAAGCACTCTTGGCCCAAGTCTTGTCTTGTGTTCCCCAAGTCTTCTTTTGGGGAACACAAACAAATTAAAAGTCTAATACTCAAAAAAGTGAAGAACCTCAAAACCCTGAAAAAGTAAAATACTTGAAAGTATGAAAATGTAATATCAACACATGTGAAAAAATACAATAAAATTATTATAGCTGCTGTCTAAATAAATAAAGTAAAAGTATATAGATAGGACTTAATATAGCATATTTCCTCTTGCAGATTTTAATCTTTTTAAGCATATTATATGGAGCCTAGCAACTATCTCTCTTTGACATGCAGCCTCTTCTGAAATGAACAGAGAAGAACACTAGGGTCTTATCCCTTGCCCTGTTAAGAAAAATGAAATCATTATTAACCAGACTGTACCACCAGAACAGCACTGTGAATAACTCAAGCATCAGATTACAGGACCAGTTCTGGGAAATGTTAGGAACACAGTTTTCTGGCTTTTTTCAGTCCGGATAATTAGCAATGATAACTTAATGTTGAAGTCAAGAAATCTTTCTAAAGCAGTATTCAATATACAGGATACTGCTGACCATATTCAAAGACCGTACAAAGTCCTGCTGCCCAGAACAGCAAAGGACAGTGTTTTCTCACTGTTTGACACCTCCTCTCTGCTCCCTCAACTTAACCAAAGCTCCATAGGCACTTTATTTGAGCCACATGTTCTCTGGCCTTGAACATCCCCTTGTGCTCCTTGGAGCATCTTTCTGTTCCAACATCCTGCTTTTTTTATAGGGTTTAATTTATTTTTCCCTTTAAGATCTCTGTAAACTGAGGGTGACAGCCATGGAAATCATTTCTCCTGGAGTTTCACCCAAACCACATAAGTATCAAAAAGCACTCATACATTAATTAGACCCCCAAACATAACTATACCCACAGCTATAACAGCGTGGCTAATGCATGGGTAGTTTTTTGTATAACAAACTCCTGGGAGGACAGGTTTATAGAGTCCATCAGCTCTTGATCACAGCTACCCCCTTCCACTGGCAACTCAGCTTTGGCAATTGAACTGTGGATCACAAAACACAGTTACTGCCATTGCAAAGCCAAGCTTTCCAAAAGCCACTAAACAAACACAAAACTGAAAGTTGTCCCCAAAATTTTAATCCTCTTAAGCATTCCCTTAACATAACATTGTATAATCATTAACTACTCTTGCCCTTGATTTTTGTTGTTTTTCACTCAAATTGGATGTTTCCATGCAGTTATGTGCCACCAAAGTAGTCAATAGATGATATGGGAGACAATTCCTGCTTCCTGATCTGGGCAGCAGCTTAACCAATGAAAAGCAGCTGGAGCAACCATTACATGAGTCATCCTGTGGCTTTCATCATACTCATTTCCCTGCAACAATTACACGTGTGCAGGCTGGGCCCACACAGGAACTGCAAGAGGTTCACTCTCTCAGTGACAGCAGGTTTCAGACAATGTCCTTTTCAAGAACTGGCAGTGACCACATAAAAACATTTTACAAAGGCATACACCTGAGCCAGTTTGGAAAGGTTTTCTGGGCAGTCATAAATGTATCTTTGTACTCGGTGTGAAGGCTACTTCACTGGTAAACATAGCAAGGTGTGAAGGCTACTTCACTGGTAAACTCAAGCACTTGCTGCAAAACCTGAAATGATGACGTATTCTGAAGAAAAGCACTCAGAATTTACTGTAAGCAAGTACGTTTCTGCAGTTTGTTTCTGAAAATACCAAAACTGGATTGTTAGTTTTTCTAGAGAACTAGCATAGAAGTTGTAGTCAAATTGTTAGGGTGTGGTGATAACTGAAAGCCTTGCCTTACAGTAGCAAGTGTCAGGTGAGCTTCAAAACAGCATTATTGATTAAAAATGTGAAAAATTCCTCTAAATAACCTTTCTGTAGGGTATTAGAAAAACGTACCTTTTCCAAGCATAGACAAAAAAAAAAAAAAAAAAAAAAAAAAAAAAAAAAAAAAAAAAAAAAAAAAAGATAATACAGGCAGCCAGCAACACTACTCCAGTGTCACCATTACTAGAAAAATATAAAAGGATGGTCTTAAATAGAAAGGAAATCCCATTAACAAAAATGAAATCACCTATGAATCTTGATTTAAAATTATTGCCCAGCTTTTCTTTTCCTCCTGCCCCTATAACAGCCTTCTAAGATAAAAAAGTTTAGAAATTGGCTAAATGTAAAGCAGTTGTGGAGATGATTGAAGATCCTGCTTGGGGGCAGAATAAATAATTAGATGTCCAGGGAAATGCTTTTGACTCTCTTTCCTTTGGCATATCCTTCATTTCCCCCCTTTTAGTGAAATATAAAAAGAATTAAAGGCCACAAAGAACCACGTTTATAGATTATTGGATCAGACATCAATTAAATAATTCCCACCTGCTTTATATCTTAGATAAATAGGATAAGGAAAGGTAGAAGGTTTTGTANGAAAAATTCCTCTAAATAACCTTTCTGTAGGGTATTAGAAAAAAAAAACTTTTAAAAAAAAAGACAAAAAAAAAAAAAAAAAAAAAAAAAAAAAAAAAAAAAAAAAAAAAAAAAAAAAAAAAAAAAAAAAGAATACAGAATATTAGAAGACAATAAGAATGTCAGCAAATGCATCAGGATGAAATCTGTCTGGAAATTTACAGGTATAATAATAGTGCATTTGCCAGACAGCTGCGCACCTAGTTTTCAACAGCATGGAAAAATCCAAGTATCTTACCAACACATGCCTCAACAAACACAGTAATTGCAGCAATGGATAGAGACATTAGCACTTCCTAGGTAATCTTATCAA